GGAAGAAAAGGTCCAAAGAGGTAGGGGAAGTGGGAGGGGAAGGGGAAAGGAAAGAAGGGAAAGGAAAAATTATGAGAAAAGGAAAAAATGGAAATGAAGTCTATGTAAATAGGGAAGGGCGGAGGGGTGAAGGGCGCACAGGGAATGGGGAAAAAATAAGAACAAAGATGCATCATGTACAGGTGCAAACACCCAATGATAAATGTAAACGTACTGTGTACCTAAAATGTACCAATAAAAGAATCTAAGCAAAAAAAAATAAAAATAAAAAATAAGAATCTGGTATTTGTGACATGAATTCAAACTTCCGACAACTGGGAGGTCACCGCATGAGTGCCTGACAGCTCGGTGCACCCTGCTCACAGAAGACACCGCAGACAGGAGTGTGTACACCTGTCCTGAGCCTGCATGGGCAGACGGAGGGCGAGGGACGTTCGCAGGAAAGGGACTCCTCAGCTGAGGTCACCGAGGGAGCCGCGGGCCCCTCAGAGAGCAGTGACTCTTCGAAGGGAGAGCGGCCTCCAGGGACGCGGTCGGGCAGTGAGAGGAACGGGAGCCAGAGGCTGGACGGCAAGCTCCGGACCCGGCTGCAGACTCGGGCAGGGCCGGGCACACTCAGTGCCAGGCCGTCCCTGCCGGCCTCCTGCGCTCCACAGCCCAGGGCGTGGGCCTCGGCCCCTAACGTGGCCGAGCGTGGCCCCTGAAGCCCTCCCGTGGGCCCCGACAGTCACGGAGTCCTCAGCCCATTGCATTGGGCTGGATGAGGGGACTGGGGAGGCAGGCAGCACTGGGAGTGAGAGGAACCCCGGAGAGGGGCCGAAGCACGCGGGCTCACCCACCAGAGAGGCGCAAACCGGCAGCCGTGAGCAGCTGCGAGAGGCCACGGAGAGGAGCGGAGAGTGCACAGTCGGCGAGGCCCGAGAGCAGAGCGGGCTGTGCTGACTGCCAGGGCCGCTTCTCCGGGACACCACTGAAGGCGTCTGGCTCGCTCGTCACACCCCTGGGGTTGCAGCCAACACCTAACAGGAGGCGGCTCGCAGCTTCCTGGGCCCCCGGGCCCCTACTCACAGGGAGACAAGAGCAAACCTGGGAGGGGAGCAGCTCCAGCCCTGGCCTCCCGCGCGGGCACCAGACTGCTGCTCAGCGCAGCCACTGCGAGAGCTGGTCCTCGGGTCTCCACCGAGAGGTGAAGCAGGCGCGGCAGCCCAGGCCGAAGAACACACAGGACACTTAGCAGTCCGTGCGTGTGGGTGTGCGTGTGCGCGTGCGTGCGTGTGTTGCTTTTTTCCTTTTTCGCCTCTCTTCTGGTATACGTGTGTGTGTGTGTGTAGTTTGTATATGTGAAGCAATAAAGATGAGTGCTGTAGTTTAGGTGACCTATCACGTGGACACGTCAGAGTAACCCTCGGTAAAGTATGCTTATAGAGGATCCGAACACAGGCTTTCCACTCGCTCATTCATTGGTTTTGTCCTTACAGCTTTCCCCCATCTCCAATTACTCCCATTCCCGGAAATAACCTCTCAAACTTCCTCTCCCCTCCCTCCATTCTAAGCTTTAAAATAATGTCACCGAAGTCCAATCTCTTTTCTTTCGTTCATTTGCGGTCATCGCTTCTTTCTCCTTCTGTTCTTTGTGAACCAGCGTCGTTCTTCCTTTCTGCCTCCCCGATCCTATATATCTCAGCCTGCTTCCTATCCACACAATTTTACTGTCTTCCTGGGATAATGAAAGAAGTGTGAACTTGTTACTTAAAATAACTTTGTTCTTTAGTATAAAAAGAATTTTCTTTTTCTTTTTCTTTTTTTTTGTGCCAGGGATTGAACTTGTGCTTACGAGGCAGGCAGCAGAAGCACTGAGCTAAATCCCCAGCCCCAGAAAGGATTTTTTAAAACTATTTTCCGTCTGAAGTTGGTTGAGTCCATAGATACAGAGCCTGTGGATTTGCAGAAGGGTCTGTACCTCACACAAATGGAAGGCAACTTCTAACTTGTGTGATGGATACACTGTAGACACTGCAGCTACTAATATAACCAGTAGTTCTCTCCTGGCAGCAGTCACCAGGCCCGATCCTTACCGCACTGAGTAGGCTGATTAATTGCACGATCACCAAAATATAACCAGCACCAAGGTCATCTCACAGAGAGGCATATTCACTAAGGAAATCTGCACAGTAGCAACATAATTTTTCTATCCTGACTGACCGTCAACCCTCAACACAAAAAAGAAAAAAATGTGACAAAAGAAGAACAGAACATGCCACTAAAAACTGTTAACTCCTGAAAAGCAAACCTCAGAGACACTAAAGTGGAATAAATTTCAGATAAAGAACTTACAAAACCAAATGGTTGAAATATTTGAAGAGTTCAAAGAAGAAACTAATAAGCAAATCCATAAGACATGCAGTAAGCTTAAAGAGGATGTAAATAAACAGATAAAGGATCCAATTAATACAAATGTGTAATGAGCTTAAATAAGGCACAAAATAGTTGACTGAATTGAGCAATGCAAAAGATCAATGACAAGTTTTATAAAGAATTACAGAATCTGCAAAGGAACTGAGCAGAAATTCTGGATATGAAAAACTCAAATGAAAGTATGGTAACAGAAATAACCAGTCTGAGGGGAATCTACCAGAAACTGAAGACAAGGTTGGGATAGCAGATCATGTGCTCAGCTACACCCTAAAAATAAGACACAGTGGAAGCTGGATCTGGAGCTGCTAGATAAAAAAACAAAAACAAAACAAAACAAAAAACCAAAATTAAGAACTGTAGGAGTGAGAGAACAGTCAGATGATACCAAACATATGAAAAATTCATTCACTAAAATCATAGCAGAAACATTTTCAAATCTAGGAAAAGAATTCAAGATCCCTGTAAAGAGGTATATAGAACCCCAAGTAGCAACAATTACAAAAGAAATGCATGCTCCTTAAGGATCATAGTCGAAATCCTGGACACTTGGTACAAAGAGAGAATACTAAAAGCTGTTAGAAAAACATTGAGTAACCTATAAGGCCCAACCTATCTGAATAACACAAAATTTGTCAACACAAATCTTTAAGGCCAGAAGAGCTTGGAACTAAGTTTTTCAAGCTCTAAAAGAATACAGTTTTTAATCAAGATTATAATATATAAAACTGTGCTTCAAAATCGATGGAGAAATATAGATTTCTACGAGAAAGAGAACTTAAAATAATAAATGGCCACCAAACCAGCACTGCAGAAAAAAGTACTTAAAAGAATTCTAGACAGAAACAGTGAGACCAGCATCACCAAAGATCCCATAGGAAAAAACATGTCTATCTGGAATAGGAGTTAAGCAAAGGAAAAAAATAATGGAATCAGCAACAGAAAAATAATGTAATGATAGAATTCAGTAAATACCTTTCAATAAGAACACTTAGTGGCCTTGTTCTTAACTCCCCAATCAAAAGACAGACTGGCAGATTGGATCAAAAATCAGAATGCAGCCATATCATGTGTGCAAGATACCTCATCTACAAAGAAATGGATGAATCGAACATGTAAGGAATGACAACGATGCTCCATACAACTGGACCCTGAAAGCAAGCAGGAGCAGCCATCCTACTTTGATATGAAGTGCACTTCAAATCAAAACTGATCAGAAGAGACAAAGACAGCACTAGACACCAGTCAAGAGAACAATTAAGCAGGAATCAGGAAGAGACAACTGTAAATGCAACAATGTCAACACAGCCAATTTCATAAAACAAAAACTACTGGACTTAAGCAGACAGATACACACCAATAGAATTACAGTGGGGGACTTCAATACCCCACTCTCACAAATAGAGAGTTAAACCAGACAAAAAATCAACAAAGAAATATTAGAGTTGGACTACACCACAGAACACATGGACTTAACAGGTAAGTACAGAGTATTTCATGGAATACACATTTTTCTGAGCAGTGCACAGAACTTTCTCCAAAATGAAACATATCTTAATGCCATAAAACTTGCTTAAATAAATGCAAAATAATTAAAATAATAAATTGCATCCTATTGGATCATAACAGAATGAAAGTAGAAATCAAAACCACAGAAACTATACAACACCTAGGAATTAAATAAAGCATTAGTGAAAAATCAATCTGAAGAAATCAGAAATGAAACTACAAAGTTTCTATGATCACATGACACTGGAATCAAAACACACTAAAATGTATGGTATACAACTGAAAGCAGACCTAAGAGGAAACTTTATAGATATAAAGGCCTCCAAAACATAGAGCAATCTAAAATAACTTAATGATGTATCTCAAGGTCCTACAAAAACAAGAGCAATCCAAATCCAAAAGTTGTAGAATGTAAGAAATTATAAAAATCTAAGTGGACATTCATAAAATTGAGACTAAAAAACAATACAAAGAATCAATGGATTGTTCTTTGAAAGGATAAACAAGACTGACAAACTCTCAACAAAAATTACCAAAAGAAGAAAAGACTCATGTCAGTACAATTTGAAATTAAAAAGGTAAAATCACAAAGAACACTACAAAACTCCAATGAACCTAGGAGAAATGAATAAATTCATATACACATATGAATTACCAAAACTGAATCAAGAAGATATAAAAACCCTGAACAGAGCAAAAATAGGCAATGAAATAAAGCCAGAAATAAAAAACTTAACAACTAAGAAAAGCCCAAGACTCACATTCCCTGCTGAATTTTGCCAGGTCTTCAGATTAGAATGAACACCCGTGTTCCTCAAACTCTTACATTAAAATGAGAGAGAAGGAACAGTTTTTCCTGGAAGCTACCATTATCCTGATACTCAACAAAAAAGATCACTACCAGTCAATTTCCTCAATGAACACAGACACAAAAATCCTCAATAAGATACCGGCAAACAGAATGTGAAATCATTAAAAAGATCAAACATAGCCAGACATGATGGTACATGCCTGTGATCCGAGCACTCGGGAGCCTGAGGCAGGAGGATCACCATGAGTTCAAGGCCAGACCTAGCTACATAGTGAGTTTGAGGCCAGCCTGAACTATATAGCAAGATTCTGTCTCAAAAAAAAAAATCAAACATCATGATCAATTTGGCTTCATCCCAGCGATGACTTAACATACATAAATCAATAAATATAATACACCACATAAACAGAAGGATAAAAATCATACAATCATCTCAGCAAGTGCAGAAGAAGCCTTTGACAAATACCAGCATGTATTCATAATAAAAACTCAAATGAAATTAGAAATAGAAGGACATGATCATAAACTGATAAAAGCCACTTAAGGCCAACCCATGGTGAACATCACAACAAGTGGAGAAAGACAGAAAACATTTCCTCTAAAATCAGGAAGAAGAGAACAGTGTACATTCTTACCATTGCTGTTCAATACAGTACTTGAAGTTTCAACCAGAACAATCAGGCAAGAAAACAAAAAGGAATTTGAGCAAAAAATGAAGAGGTTAAACTATCATCATTTGCAGATGGTGTGATCCTTCACATAGAAGACCAAAGAAACTCCATGAAAAGACACTTATGACTAATAAACGAGGCAAGGGTTTCCTGAGCAGAAGACCAAATGCACAAGAAATGACACTAAGAATCAACAAATGGGATCACATCAAATTAAAAAGCATTTGTATAGCAAATGAAGCAGCCAACAGATTGAAGATACAATCAACATTACAGGAAAAAACTATTTACTAGTTACTCC